GCCATCAAGGTCTTCGTCCTCAGGATTAGATGGAGCTTGAATGTTTGGGGAGGAGCTATTGGCAGACAAGTTATCGGGCCTTTCTTTTTCGACAACAGATTAACAGGTGCAGAATACTTGAATTTTGAAACTCGGATGCATATGTACTTCCAACATGACGTGCCCATTAGCATATTCGTGTGCGTAACTATTTGGACACCTGGAGTAACAATCGTTGGATCGGTCGTGATGGGCCTAAATCTTGGCCCATAGATCACCAGATATGTTATAGTTGTTTTTCTCTATTACGCTTGAAGCTGATTTATATTGTTCTGATTGGTATTAGCTTTTACATCAAATCTGTACTCTTAGTGGCAATATGGAACGAGCACACTGTTTGTTTTTTGTTTCCATGGATGATGTGATTTTTTTCCTTAATTTTGGTGTGTTGTTCTATTAAAAGCTCAATAACTCAAAATCTGGTGATTTTAACTGAATCAAACCTCATACCAAAAAAAGCTTATAAAAAATTGAATCCAAACTTGTACAAATATACAGGGTGATGCATTTAAAGTTTTTGAGAAAAAGTACAATTTGCGTTTTTGACCACCCTGTATGAGCAAAAATGAAAATTTGACAAAGTAACAAATAAGATAAAAGCTGAAGTGTGTAAGTTTTTTTTGATACTAAATTCAGCACTCCAAATTTCATAATGACGGAATGGACGGTTTTTCTGGACAAAACATCTTACATCTAAGTAGCTGATTATCAAAACCCCATAGTATGTGATATCAATCTTCTTCTTTTGAATTGGTTTATCCAAATATGCAATAAAATTTGAGGCATTCCATTTAAAACATCACACCTTTGATATGTAGGTCAAAATTGGGCCACCCTGTATAATTGCCAAATTTTTTAGAAACGTGCCCTCAAATGTCGTGTATAACATGCCATAAATATATTTTACCAAAATGCATTTGTTTATGAGTAATATTCCGTCCACTCATGGATGGGCCACCCTGTATTTGATCTATAAAAAATATCTTGCAGTATTGAATAAAAAATTCTAATTATGCATAACTATATTTTTTTATGATTTTTAGACTCAATACGGCATATCATTAATCGGGACTAAAGGTTGACCTTGTATTATACTGTGAACAGCTAAGCGCCGCGCGCTCTTCGCCCACTATGTCAAAGTTGATTCAACGAAAAAATGTTTTAAAGAAAGGTCGTAGAGAACTTTATTCTCCGGTTGGACCTGAAAATTTGCATATTTAGCAAGGTTTTGTGTAAAATTTTGAGGATTTTTGGGGGTGGGCACACTTGCCGATGATCACCCACTCCCCTGACAAAATTTCTGTGGGCGCCTATGCACACAGGTACTCGAAATACCAGCCGTATTCTTGAGCGCGGTAAATTACAACGTTCCATAGGGAATGACCAAAATTCTGACAGCTGTAGATGTTTGTAAAACAGGTTTGTGGTTGCATCCTTTCATGTAAACTTTCATCCTATGGCCCCTCAGTGAAGCTGGCCGATACGACCGCTTCTTTGTTCCTTGTTCAAAAATCGGATTAACAATGTTTAAAGGTGCGTATAATTACCAATGTTGGGAGTATATAGATGTACCAGAATGGTAAAAATTGAGATAAACCCTCTCCACCTTGTAAGGGGAGGTAAAACGGATTTTTCTTTTCACTTTTTCATTTCTTTATTGGTGCTTAATACACTAGCGTGCTTACACAGGTCCAAGAAGAAGTTAAAATACAAAAGTGTAAATTCACACAACAATAAAATTTGTTGGAAAGAACAACATTATTAGCGAACTGTAAAAAACAACATTACCAAAACTGTAAAAGTATCCATAATATGTGGTTAGCAACGAATCATCACTAACACAACTTTTTAGATTCCTAATTAAATAAACCTTGATAGTTTCCTGAGAATACTGTTCACATGTTCCTTCCAAGTCAAGTGTGTATCAATACTAATACCCAAAAATTTGACTGTGTCCATAGTATTGACACAAGCTTATTACCACGGACTGTGTCTTTGAAGTATTATAATTATTTATTATACCTTTAATGTTCGCCCAGAAAACTAGATCAATCGATTTGCTACTAAAGAGCATTGTTGTATCATCGGCAAACAGTATAAGGTTTTTGTTTGTATTCCAATTAGTAAGGTCATTTATATATATTGAGAATAAAAGTGGACCCAGCACAGAACCATGTGGGACGCCACTTGAAACTGTCATTCTAATAGAGGTAGTGTTGTTGAAAGTTACAAGCTGCTGTCTGTTGCTCAAATAAGCTGACAAAAGCTTTATGCTACTACTATGGAATTTGTAATGCAACAATTTTTGCAGAAGAATGTCATGCTGGACACAATCGAAGCCCTTAGGTCCGATTAAATAAATTAGCTAAGCTATCAGCACCACTTTCAAAAGCTGCATTCGTTTTCTCAATAGAGGGAAGTAGACTTACCTGATCTGAAGCCGAACTGACATTCAGTAAATAGGTTGTTGCTTTCAAAATAGTCAATCAGCTCATCTTTCAAAAAATTTTTAAGTATCTTAATAAATAAGTGTAAGTGAAATTGGCCTATAATTTGAAAGATCGTTGGAATCGCCTTCTTTGAAGAATTTGAAATACGCCAATTCAATTATTCTGATAGTGGCATAATAAAAAGACTGTAAGAATTTTTGCATTGAAACCAAATACATCAAAACTTTCAGATTTATTTAATTTATACTAAGTGACATATACATCCGAACACCCAGTTTAAATGGTTTTATTTTAATAAAATTTTGTATAAGTACTTAATGAAGCATAATAAGTAAATGATAAAAATTTCAAAATGATTGCACTGCTTTAAAGCCCTTTGACCTTTAATAATGTGTGGATGCACCCTGATGTGCTACGCATTCTTCAACGCGCCTAGGCATGCTTCTGATCAGGTGGTCAATGTCCTCCTGAGGTATCTCATTCCAGGCAACCACCAACTCCTCTCGAAGTGCTTCTAGAGTCTGAGGAGGACGTTGCAAATTGAGCAACCTCCTACCCATCATATCCCACACGTGCTCAATTGGGGATAAGTCGGGAGATCTTGGTAGCCATGGCAACAATGAGACATCATTATGTTGAAAAAAGACTCTTGCAACATGTGGTCGGGCATTATCTTGCTGGAAAGTTGGATCTGCCAGGGTGTCAAGATAGGGTAAAAGATGGGGTTCTAGAACTTCGTGGATATAACGCTGCGCGTTCATGTTACCTCTGATGAAGATTAAAGGTGACCTGGAACCATAAGCTATAGCACCCCAAACCATAACTCCAACAGTGTGATGAACATGTCTTTCAACAAAAAACTGTGGATTCCTCCTTTCACCACGTCGCCTTCTAACCCTGGCACGACCATCGTGCATGCCTAAACAAAATCGAGACTCGTCACTAAAGACAATACTGTTCCATTCCTGATCCCAGAGTGACCGTTGTCTGCACCACTCAAGGCGATTACGTGGGTGTTCTCGAGTTAAAGGGAGGACCCAGTGTGGCCGGTATGAAAACAAGCCAAAACTTCTCATTCGTCGGTAAACACTTCGCATGCCAATAGGTCTTCCGGGTTCTGCAAACCATTCATTTGCAATGGACCTGGTAGTGGAGAAACGGTCCCTTAAGGCCAATAATCGTAGGCGGCGATCTTCACGGTCTGTTGTTCTACGGCGGCGTCCAGTGCCCCTTGCTCTTTGCGTACGGCCTTCTCGAAGCCATGTCTGACAACACCTAACCACAGTGTCTACACTTCTTTGCACTCTAACTGCAATTGCCCGAAAAGAAAGTCCAGCTTCCCGAAATCCGACTATACGGCCCCTATCAAACTCACTAAGTTGACGAAATCGTACTTGTCTCCGTGCTCTAGGCATCGTAACCGATCGTAAAGGATGTCAAGAACCAAAATCCGCCAACGTTGATTCTTTACTGCGGCTGAAATATTCATTTTTAGAGCGTTAGTGAATTAAAAAAAAAGCAGTATAAAAACCGGAATGCCCAACTGATAAGGCTGAAAATTTTTTCACTTGTTATTTACAGTAAGACAAATACATTCACCAACTTTTATTAAAATAAAACCATTTAAACTGGGTGTTCGGATTTATATGTCGCTTAGTATATTTATCGCTGCCTTGACTAGATTGCAAGTAACCTCTTTAAAAGAAAAATCTTCTGTATCAGTTACCTCATGCGTTGAAGTTGAATGTGGAATTTGGTATGCTAGAATTTTCGCAATATTAGTAAAATAAAGATTAAAGTAAGACAGGCTAAGCGTCGTGCTTGTGTGTTTCATTTGATTTTTGTTTTTGATAACATTCAATGCTGCCTGTTGTCTATTTGTAGCATTTTCAATATTATGATTATTAGCTTGCTTTTTGGGTTGATTTGCCGCACGTCTATATTCACACTTGTATAAGTAAGATACTCTTTACTAACAATTTGAGGATGAGATTTGTGTAGTCCTGGCATTGCTTTCTCATGCGCTGAAGATTTAAGTTGAAACAAGATGAATTAAAAATAGGACTTTTTTTGATAATTTTTGATTTGTGGTGATTCATACTGTTTTACTTTTAAGATTTCGCGGTTATAAAAACACAGATACGTCAAGTAAAAGAATAAAAAATGAGTAACATGGATTTCTGTTATGTAGATGTTATACGACAAACAAGAAACTTGTTAACTGGGACATTTAACAATGATAATGATTTTCCAATTAGTACAAGACGAAAAACATATTCAATTTATTTGTAAGAAATGCGGGAAAGAACAAATGTGTATGTTAGCCCGCTGTTAATTTGCCATAATATTTGTTTCTATGAATCATAGTTATATATGTTTCTGACTAAGCGCATTAACGGTATTTTTCACTTTCAGCATATTTCCCAATTTCTATTTCATCTTCCATTGTTTGTTGTGCCTTCTGGAGCAACAACCATTCGTCCATATATTCTTCTGATCTTATCTACATACCTGGCTCCAAGACCTTATTTTCATTGTACTTGTACATCGTAGGATGACACTCCACTAAAACAAAAACAAGACAAACTAAAAAAGGCGCACTAGCTAACATGATTCACAAGAACTAAGAGCGTTGTTGAAAAAACAAGTGAATCAAAGAGCATCGGGTGTTCCACTGAAAAATGTCTAATTGAATCGTGAAGAAACACAGTTGGCCATGATGAATGAGTAAAAGAAGTGACAGCCAATGAGTGAGCAGTATCCAGCTGGTCCGTTGTTTTCAATGGTAGTGAAAGTAAAACTGAAACCTGGTTAATAAGCGGTGCAAGCAGACAGACCGAGGATAGGACGTGGTGCAATGTGCGCTTCATGTGAAAACAATAATAAAATTATTAATTGGATAATGGTGTGTTATTATTTGATGCGCGCACTTCTTGCGGCGAGTAACGGAAAGTAATTGGATGAATTGGTGCAAAAGCCGGTCACCTTTATTTGTCTTAATTAATAGTATAAGTCAGAAAGCAGAACTTATATATGCTCTTGATATCACGAAAGCGTTCGATCAGCTGTGGCACCCAAACTTCCATCGTATGGCCTCCCAGAGAAGCTTTGCAGATGGTCGTAATTGACGGCGTCTCCTCTTCATCCCACAAGGTCAACGCGGATGTTCCACAGGGATGGCTCTTGGCTCTAGCAATGCTCTTCTTACATATCAACGACCTCTCCAGTACGATCAATCCAATCCACAGATTTGCTGATTACAGTACCCTACATGCAGGAATTCGGAGTGACAAGCGGATCCCTGCTGGTAAGCAGAAAAAAGGAACCACTGACCCGGAGGTTATCACTGCTTGGGTACGCAAGGATCTTGTATAGTTTAATACTTCCAAAACACAGTACTGTACCTTGACGAACGAAAGCGTTCTAGTGTTCATCCGGTTTCGAAGGATGGCCGAGTTCTGTCAAAGAGCCGTTCAGCAGTCAATAGTACAAGACCCAGAAAAGGCGTAGCTTCGAGGTATAGCTCACATCTATGGGGTGCTGCTGCCCCGACTCGATAACTCTTCTCTAACAGACAATCTCGGAAATCTTTCGCTTTGCTTTTCAGAGCTGTATACATCCAGAACTGGACGATACGACCGCTCCTTTGTCCCTAGGGTGTCGAGATTGTCGAACAATCTACAAGAGGAGGCTTTTCCAGTTCTACTAACATTAGGCAGTTCAAAAATCGGATTGCTTTGGTGTTAAGAGAGAAACCACTTCTGATACGTGAAGGTTTCATCGCTCAAATCAACGATAAAGCTGTCATTTTTTCAATCGGACCTTCACAAACGTCAACTTTGCGTGGCCTAGTGCGAGCAATAAAAGATAGAAGTAGTATGACTTGGATATGTACGAGGGTTGTCCCAGAAGTACCCGGCCTGACCTAGAGATGGTATATGTGTCAAGTTTGAAGACGCCACGTTGTTTAGTATTTGTTTGGCAGCCATCAATACTGAACGTTTTTAGTGAATTTGTGAAAATGGAGAAAATTGGTCATCGTTATGTGGTACAATACTTTTATTTCAAAGGTCTCAGCCCAACCAATATAAAAGCTGAACTGGATTCTACTCTGGGTGAGTCTGCTCCTTCGTTTAGAACAGTAACATATTGGGTAGCAGAGTTTAAATGAGGCCGACGAGCATCGCAGTATTCGACCAAATGAGGTGACGACTCCAGAAATGGTGATGAAAATTCACAAAGAGGTACCGAATGATCGTCGACTGAAAGTGCGCGAGCTAGCAGACATAGTAGGCATTTCAAAAAGTGCGGTTCATCGCATATCATCTGAAAATTTGGACATGAGAAAGCGGCGTGCAAGATGGGTGCCGCGATTGCTCACAATCGAGCAAAAACACTGGCATGAAGATGTTTCAATTGAGTGTTTAGCGAAGTTTCACAGCAACAAAGCAGAATTTTTGCAACGTTTCATAACCATGGATGAAACATGGGTCCATCACTTCACACCCAACACAAAAGAACAATCAAAACAATGGACTCAAAAGGGCTTCAAAGAAGGCGAAGACCGTTTCATCTGCAGGCATGGTTATGGCGTCGGTTTTTTGGGATGCGCGTGGGATAATTTTCATTGACTATCTTGAAAAAGGTAAAACTATCAACGGCGAGTAATATGCGAACTCATTGCAACGTTTGAGCGATGAAATCAAGCAAAAACGGCCGCATCTGGTTAAGAAGAAAGTGTTTCATGAAGAGAATGCGCCAGCTCACAAATCCGTTATTGCAATGGCCAAAATTAACGAACTAAAGTTTGAATTGCTACCTCATGCACCCTATTCACCAGATTTAACCCCCTCGAATTATCTTCCGCTTCCAAACTTGAAAAAATGGCTCACTGGTAAAAGATTTTCCAACGATGAAGAAGTGATGTCGGCAGTTAGCCCAGATACCACTGAAACTCTTAATGTTTGTTTTTTGTTATATACTCTTGTAAACCTATTAATTGGGTTAATATAAACATATTTTCCTAATAAAATTTTTTAGTTCCGCTTTTAGGTTTTTCTGTAAAAGCTGTCGGTTTAAACGTACGGTAGCAATATAAGGTACTAAAACTCAATATTCTTATGAACTTATAAAACTTGCAAAAAGTGCAACATCACACTTCTGGCATCTGAATGCTGCTTGTTTGTGGCAAAATGCGCAGCGGGTTTGCTTTTCCTGATAATTCACAAGATGATCCATCCGATCATATCTGGACTCATAATGCAGGTATTTGCCTGGTTTAGATGGCCCCCGTTTTGTTTCTTTCTTATAAGTTTCTAAAAATCCCGCAGCAATACACCTCCTAAACTGCAAATGGTCCATTTTTCCGCCAGAATGTTTATGAAGTTGTCATGCGTTTTGTTCTGCCATATCCAGATCATGTGAAAACAGGCAAAAATACCACTTCTTTCCCCTGATTCCTACGCAGTAAAGGCTTATATTTTGGTCAGCCCTATCAGCACCGTCCATGTTTTCATTGTATTGTTTGATCAAACATGGCTGCTCAACACATCATTTTCTTTTCTTTCTGAGAGAAGCGTTTGACTTGCTGTGTCGGAAAAAAAAGGAGATGTTACATTTGAGGCGATTGTAACAACACTATTGTCATTCCATTTACAATACAATATTATTTTGGTTCTCCTCCAAAAGATAATCAAAACTACCACGGGATTTTTTCTTGAACATACTGGATTTTTCAAGAGGGCAATCTGATAGTCTGTTTTCTCGCAGAGTTCCTGTGCATTTGAGCCCCCTGTAGGTCAGCTCAGCCAACAGAGGTAATGAACGTAAAAAATTGTCACAAAAGATATGGAAAGAAGCTTTTTCACATTGAGACTGAATAATATCAGCAAACTGAAGTACAACACTAGCCCCTAAGCCAAGAGGACGATATTTTTCAGAAATAATAGTTGTGGACCCTTGATACTGCTCAAACCATTCAATGTACCCCTTTTTAGTTGTTCCCACCCATACCTTATAACCCCAACGAATGGGTTTTCCTCGGATGAACTGTTTTGATCCATGACCGCCGTAATAGGGTACCATCGACTCGTCCACGCTATATGGCACTCTTCAAGGGGTGCAAATGACTGAAATTTCTCATTGAGAGTAGAAAACAAGGGCCTCAGTTTCGAAAACTTATCGGTATTTTCAAGATTGTTGTTATCATTCAGGTGCAAATTCTGCATTATAAAGCTAAAGCGATCTCGAGAAAGCGCCGAATAGACTAACTTATTTCCTGCATCACTGTTATTTTCCCAATACATTGACCGTCGAGGAAATGAGTTGTATCCAGAGAGCAGTAATACACCAATGAAACATTTTATTTCACTGGAATGTATATCACCTCGGCGATTATGCTGAATAGCATATATATTGGAATATTTCACAACCAAGTCAATAATTTCGTCATCTATAAACTGAAAAAATAGTTCTAAAGGAGATAAAGAATTTTTTGGACCACTTGCGTTTACCCATTCTGGAAAATCTTGGTTGATGTCACCTTTTTTCCAAGAGTAATTTGGTTTTGATAATTTTGGTCGTTTTTTCGTAAGAAAGGTAGACAAAGGTAGGTCATCGTCGCTATCAAAATCACTCTCAACTGTAGTTTGGTTTGATCCCTTGTTTTCAAATACAACCTCAACTTCAGTCATCAGCTGACTTCCAGGGAGGTTGTTTATATCCACTTCATTTTCGTCGCCGGAATCCTCATCAGTGTTATATTCATTTGCGTTAACTGGCGGTAGAACGGCAATAGTATCAGGAATCAACTCATCGTCATCAATGTTTTCAGTTTCTGCCATGAGTTCATGAAGTTTCAAGGGCCGCTTCCAATAGTTCCAATAACTGCAAATATAAGAAAAAAAATCGAATAATACCGGATTTTCCTACTGTCCGTTAAAACGGACATCGGTATTTGAGGTTATATTTTTGCCGATGAGATGCAAATTTTTAACTTATTTGTTTAAAATTATAAAGATCGATGTTTTCTAAAATTACTTATTCACAAGTTGGAAAAATAATATGAATAGTTTATCAGTATACTCACCTATAATTATCCATTGTTCACAACAAACTAAGCACCTGTTATTCCAAACACTTTTTCGCATACAGAACTCTCCCTTTAGGAGGTTAGAACAATAAATTTCGCTTAAACACGTGTTTCTAACAGCGAATAATCCACCGCCATCTAACGCGAAGTGACAAGAGTTTCAAATTTGAAGCGAAATATTAGGGGATTGTTATAACGGACGGTAGCGGTATCTGGGTTAATGGCTATTTTGAGGAGCAAGACAGTTCTTATTATAAAAAGGGTATATGACTTATTGAACATCGCTGGGAAATGTGTATAGAACTCAAAGGAGATTATGTTGGAAAATAAATACATTTTTTAGAAAAAAATTGTGTTTTCTTCGTTGGGTCGGGTACTTCTGGGACCACCCTCGTATATTCAACTCATTAACCTATTTGTTTACAAATTACGCATATAAATATAATTTAGAACATTGTAAAAACTATTGAACCATTTTACAACCTTTTACTGTGTTTGACACCTTTATACTGCTGGTATTCACAAGACGATGTCTCATTTTAAAAGATTTGCCATTTACTTGCAATAGCTAGTTTTCAAGATGACATTTTTTGTTTTTTTTGATGGTTTATAGCTTTTTACATAATTCCCGTGCGGTTCTAATGGTTGTTCAGTACACAGTTATTTTTGCATTACCTGGAAACGTCCATATTTGTAGAGAAAAGTGCCTAAAATCGGGCAATTCTTTTCCTTCTTGATTCAAACGAATAGCTGAACGTGTGCTTTAAAAGCATACAGCATCAAATTTACTTTACACATTGTTTTCTTTACATATTTATAAAGCGTACTTGGAAATTATTATTAAAAATGGTAATTTCCAAAAACCTCACATACCCCTGACTTGAAAATTAGACATACAGCCTGCGAAAACCAATGGTTTACCAATTTTGGCCTAAAAAACAAGGTTCTAACTCGTTTAAGAATCAACTATTCTCAAAGTACTCTTCAGTGACATGTAGAGCAAGATCTAAGCTTCAAATAAATAGTCGGCAATCTCAAAAATTATAATTTCCATCCGAGTTTTCAAGTATAGATTATACCTATTTTTAGGGCTTTTCAGACATTGCTTATAACTCGAAAACGGTAAACTTTGGAGAATAATTGCTAGTCGTCTTTTTGTTCAGATTGATCCAAAAAACCTGGAGACAGTCCAGGTGTAAAATAATTATAAAAAGAAAATTGTTCAACCTAATTTGAATGGGGTTAACGAACGGCTACCCCTTGTTCTTTTTAGTCTTTATTTAGCCTACCAAACAGGTATGAGTATCGTTGTTTTTGAGGTTGCCGAACATTCAAACTGCTTAAGCTAAAGCCTACCTCTACAATACCCTGAAGATTATTTTAAGATTAGTTGATTTTAAAGCAATTTTTAGCCTTGCTTGCTAGGCCTAAGTTGGAGAACTTTTCATTTTCGCAGATCATCGTACTCTTCCTTTCCTCCTTCCTGCCTTCATCCATCAATAACTTTAGCCATTCTAGAATAATTCAATTTTCGGTTTTACTCTACTACTTCGAACTTTCCAATTTCAAAAAAATAGTAGGTAGTAGATTTAGGAAACACAAAGGACTCCTGTTTGAGTGATGTAAATAAAAAACTGCTTATAGTTCCAATCAAACATTTGAACTAGTTTCACGAGAAAGACAAGCCTAAGATATTGCCTAAGAAAATATTCAGATTGTTTCAAATTCGACCCGCGTCATTGGGATCTCGGAAACTGTAAGAGATACGAACTCGCTTACGTTGTGTATTTAGGTAATCAGTAAAATGTCGCTTAGCAAGTATCGAAATTCAAAGAACTTCCGGATAGAGGGAAAAACAAGACGGTATAATTAGAATTTCGATATGACGTTTCATCCGTTGACCTCCAGCATCAACTTAATTTTTTCTTATAGACGCCATATTGGATTTTTGCACAGATGAATAGAGCTTTTAATTCTGCTTCAAAAATGTATATATGTCAGACATTGAAAAAACCCAACATTAGTTATTCCAGAAAAACAGAAGTTCCTAGGTAGGCCTGGACATTATCAGATTTCATTTGTTTCATATATCAGACCAGATCTCAGATTGAACATAGCAAAAAAGTTTGGAAGAGAAGAAGAAAAATAAATCGAGCAGTGAGCAATATACACAGAAGAGTCAGGCTTTGCCTACAAAACAACGGACCACATTTTGAACGTCTGATTTAACTTTACTTGTTTATGATTACGAGAACCTTCCCACTTCAAGATTTGTACCAAAATATGCCTTTATAAACTAAACATGACGAAACTATTTACTTCTCAAACAATTTATTTTCTCAAAAACATTCTAGTCGTAAAAAATACATATTTGAAATCACTTAGACCTATAACTAATAGAACATCTGAACAAATGAGCAATGTGCAAATAAATGCGCGAAGTTAACAAAGCAACAATTGAAAGATTACCATTGGGTAACATCACCTTTATTTTTTATTACGGCTGAAATTCTTTGGGGCATAGTATTAACCAAGTTTTGGCAAAAATTTGGTGTAAAACAATCGCATATTTCTTGAAGCTTTTGTCTCAGTTCGGTGATTGTACGAGCAGGATGTTGTCGTAGAACCTTTTTCATCTCGTGCCACAAAGTTTCAATAGGTGACAGATCTGGACTGCTAGAAACCCATTTCAAAAGTGGTACATTATTTTCTTCCATCCATTTTATAGCCTTTTTGAGGTATGGCACGCTGCACCATCTTGCTGAAACACAAAATCTTGGCCGTATGTCAAACATTCTTCCATCACTGGTAAAAGCAATTCTTCTAAAATTGCCAAATATTTGTTTGTATCCACATTTCCATCAATAAAATGAAGTTTTCCTACTCCTTTTGATGACATACTGCCCCAGACAATAATGGATGCTGGAAATTTCACTTTTCTCTTCAGACAGTCAACATGTAATGCTTATTTTTTTTGCGAATAACTCTACTGCGACTGTCACCAACACAAACTTCGAATCCGGCCTCATCACTCCATTGTATTGCACACCATTGTTGAGGTGTCCATTGTCTATGTTCTTTAGCCCATCTACGCCTATTTTTCTTTTACAATGGAGTTAATTGTGACTTTTCTTTGGCCTATAAACAAGCTGTGATTAATAAAAACAATTGACATGGCTTTTATTTTTCACAGCCACCTATGCGTTATCGACTTATCTTGCATTGAAATGAAAATGGGTTGATATGCTGTAATTGCAACATGTGTTATTTTTATGCTGCAAATTTGATTAGGGAGTGATAAAGTTAATGTTTTCTACTATATATTATCAAAATATTCATTGTTAATATTTTAAACCTATAACACACTGCTGAATTTTTATTATTTGTGTTTGATAAGAAAAAAACTAAGATTTCAATAGTTGGGCCCACTGAAGTGGGAAGGGGGTCGTATTATTGTTATTACCATCAATAGAATTTTCATTTTGTTTTCATGTATCACCATACCTTTTTATTTCCTTATAATTTTCATCACGGAAATACATCACTGAATTTTTAAGTCAAATGTCCAAAATTCTAATATAGCGTCCATCTTGTAGAGGAGAATAAGTAGCAATGATAACAAGCAATTTATTATTATAATTTATTGATTTACTTCTGTTTTTCTGGAATAACTAAGGCTTGGCAAGGTCAATGTATGACATATTAAATACATTTTTGAATTCAGAATTAAAAGCTCTATTCATCTGCGCAAAAATCCAATATGGCGTCATTAAGAAAAAATAAAGTTGATGTTGGAGAACAAGAGATGAAAAGTCATATTGAAATTCTAATTATGCCATCTTGTAGAGGAGAAAGTGGCAATGTGCATTTTATTCTGAAATCCCGCTACAAATAAAGTCAGGGAAAAATAAAACTGTTTTGGGAAAATCCTTATTTTTCTCTCTCCGGACGTTCCATGAATTCCAAAACTTTCTAAGCGGCATTTTTTGGATGCCTTAATACGCAACTTTGTCCCTATCTAAGGGACTTCTTATCTGTTAAAAGGTTCCGAGATCCTATTGGTGAGGGTCGAATTTGAAACACCCTGTATAGTAGGTACAATGGATTTCTTGCAAATATCAAGGAATAATAATGACAATTGCCGCTCTCCGCAAAAAATGTTTCCAAATTTGAAACACATAATGGGGGACGTACACTGCGGCATGGTATATCAGGATACCTAGACTACTATTTATACTTGGCAGAAAATGTTGAGGCAATGAGACCACGTGCCCGCTTTAGGGGAAATGCCCGGTTTGAGGCACTCTCCTCTACTAATGGATAAGAATATTTTCGCATAGTATTTCTATCCGATAATCTTTCCGTGATGTTCCTTGACTGATCTAGGCTCTGCGTGTAAAACATTCGTACTTGAAGATGTGGATGGAGTACACGCTCTCCTTTTTCAGCATCATTTACTAGCACACTATTCATTGCAGATCGCCGCGAAACAAAAACAATCGAAGCGAATATGACGACAGGTGTCACAGTTAATGTCAGGCCACACCTGATCTTGGTAAATGGCGTAACGGATATTTATACATTCGTGACATTGGAATTGCAATGATTGTGATACTTGCGATATTATTTGTTATGATATAGTGTGAAATATACTAAGTGACATATAAATCCAAACACCCAGTTTAAATGGTTTTATTTAAATAAAAGTTGATGAATGTATTTATCTTACTGTAAATAACAAGTGAAAAAATTTTCAGCCTTATCATTTGGACATTCCGGTTTTTATACTGCTTTTTTTTAATTCACTAACGCTCTAAAAATGAATATTTCAGCCGCAGTAAAGAATCAACGTTGGCGGATTTTGGTTCTTGACATCCTTTACGATCGGTTACGATGTCTAGAGTACGGAAACCTGTACGATTTCGTCAACTTAGTGAGTTTGATAGGAGCCGTATAGTGGGACTTCGGGAAGCTGGACCTTCTTTTCGGGTAATTGCAGTTAGAGTACAAAGAAGTGTAGACACTGTGGTTAGGTGTTGTCAGGCATGGCTTCGAGAAGGCCGTACGCAAAGAGCAAGCGGCACTGGACGCCGCCGTAGAACAACA